TATCATCTTTATATCCAATATTAACTAATTATAATTCAAACTCTACTATTCTTTTCAAAACTTTTAAAATACAAATTTTTAAAGAAAAACAAAAAAACACTCTAAAAGAAATTCAAAATAAATTAGAAGAAAGAAATAACAACTTCTATTAAAATTTTAAAATATTTTTTTATAATGTTTTGAAAAAATATAATAATATTATTAATTTAGATCAACTCTTATCTAACAACACACTCATTACTTAACCAATCAAAATTAAACAAGCTTTATAATCTTACTTTCAAGACTACTTTAAAGAACTAGCTTATACATCAATTTAAGAAAATACAAAATTCTATGAACTTTACAAAACTTTAATTAGAAAATAAATCTTACTTTGTTGATCTATTTTTAGAAATTATTTTAGAAGAATAGAACAAAGTTATATATGATCTTTTAAATTAAAAAGCAGCTAGTCTATCAAAAATAAATTATGCATATTTAAAATATTTAAACCAAAAAGCTTATAATATTATTTAACTTTTTTTAACCAAATGCCTATTATTACAACAAATACTAACAATATAAAAAATATTTAACATTTTTTTAATTCTAAAAAAATTATTATAGAATTTTACTTTAAACAAAGTTAAACTAATATTATTTATTAAATTAATCAAAAAAAAATAGAACTGTGTGTTGATAGCAAAGTGGTTATGCTCTCAGGTTGCCAATTGCAAGGTTGTCAGTTCAAGTTTAACAAAAGACAAAAACTGAGTTAGGATTATGATTGTTGATTAATCGCATCTAATGGCACACTATGAAAATAGAAAGATCTTCAATACCCAGATTTTTAAATAGTGACAGACTTGACATAAGAAGTTCATAATGATTAAGGGGCTAAGAATAATAATAAAACAAAGAAATTCCTGATTAAAAATAATTCTGATAAAATTCTGATATAATAGAAACACAAAATCAATATATAGATAGTACTATAAATGTATATAAATAAAAAATATAAATGTAAAATATAGGCAAAGTCCTGATAAAAGGTTCTGTAAACTTAAAAAATTTGAATTAATAAAACAGCTATCAGCTGCAGCCCACTAGTGATCATGCAGTGAGAAATAAATAAAAAAAAAATCAATCAAAAAATGTCTTACTAAAATCTTTATAGCTCATCTCAATCAATTATTACTTAATATTAACTACTAAGTAATCTTAACTTTGTAGCAACTAAAAACAGCTTAATTTATATTTTTATACAAATATTATTTAATATAATTGAACACTATAAAACTAATAACAAAGAGACTTGAATACTTTTTTAAGATATATTTAAAGTCTTTGAAAAAATTTACATCAAATAGTTATTAAATACTTATAAATATATTAGTATTTCCTAACCTAGTTTAAACTTTATTAAATTCTTTACCAAAACAAAAAAGCTAAAGCAATTACAGCTTATAACCTTACTGACTTAATTATATTATACTTAGACATAGAACAAGAAGAAACCTATTTTTTATTACTTTGAAAAATATACTATAATTCTATTCTCAGCTATATAAATTCAAAATATAGCTTTAAACTTTTCAAACTTTTATTACAATCTTTTTTAAAAACAGTTTTTACAATTCTGCAAACTTATATAACAATACCACCTTTTGTTTTCATAAATAATACAGTTTTGTATTGTAAATCTAAAAATAATCTTTAAAATATCTTAGATAATATATTAGAACTTTATTAAATAAATAATATTCAAGTTAATCTATCTAAATCTAATCTAATTCATATTATGCTTAACAAAAAATATTATTCAATACCAACTCAGAAATAATATCTATAAATTTTAAAAATTAACTAATTATATATCACAAATTAAATAAAACAATTTAATATTTAGGAATCTTTTTAGATAGAAAAGGCTCAACTAAACTCATATTAAAAAAAATTTTTAGTAAAATTTTTTAATTTATTTATATTATCTAATACAAAAAACTTCTTTATATACATATATCTTAATTTCTTAATACCATCTTATCATTATTATTTGAATAATTATTTCAAATCTGTTTTCTTTTTTAAATCAAACTTTAACAATTATCAAGTCTTCTAACAAAATACACTAAACATATGTTTTATTTATCTGAAATACAAATAATAATATACTAATTAATCTACAACTGCTTAATATTCTAACATTTAACAAACTTATATTACAAGTTAGTAGTAGTAATATAGAATTGCTTCAATACTATCTTGAACCAAATTTCTATACCAAGTTAAGGAATAGCTTTCTAAAATATAAAAACTATTACTAACCTAGGATACAATTATAAAAAAATGCAAATAAACCTCTAATTTTACTATAATATTTCAGCTTGCTTACTTATATAAAAATAATATTTTTTTTAACAATTCTTATTTCAACTAATTAACAACTTTTAAACAAATTAATCAATTAAACAATATTTATTCTTTAAATTATATTGCATGCAAATTTGTTTACATTTTTTTTAAAAAAATTAATTTTTATAATAAAATTTTAATAATTAATTTTAGCAATATACTTTCTAAGATGAAGTGGTCAAATTGTCAACCTTTCAAGTAGTAGATTAGATATTCAAATCCTATTAATAACAAAAATTTGGATAATCACTTATGTAATATTCATATTATGACAACTGTTTTTAATGATTAGATTAGAATATCTGTAATAGTAATCACATCAGCATGACTGGCAAGTCATAGGGCATTTATATAACAGTTATATGACATTGTCTTTTAGGACAAGGTCTGTGGTTACATGAAGAAATGCAAACTAACAATTAAATAGTGCAAATATTAGATAAGTTCTTGTGATTATATAAATCTGTTAAAATTGAATAACAAGAAGTTCATTTAAAAAGACCTGAGTAGAGAAGTAGCTAAATCTTTGACAGCTCTATTGTAAAAACTAGCTTGAAAAAACAGATTCAAGATTATAGTACCTGGTTGTAGTAACTGAACAAGCAAAAACCTTTGGGTTGAGAGTCTCAAAAGCACTACCAATCAGACTATTAGAACAAACCAAAAGAAAAGGATATTGGGTTAATCTAATATATCAATAGCCTATTTATAGTCCTAGATAGGCTATCTGAATTGGAAGTTTAATAAAAAGATAGGTGAAAAGGCAAAGATATACTAAAGTACTAGGGTTATACTATGAAGTAGATGCTGAAGTCTAAGTGAACTCTATAAGAGCATAGCAGTTTAATGGTTAAGCCTTGACTGCAAGTATTAGTTCTGCTATAGTAATACCTAAGTTAGCTATAAAAATAGGTACAGAAGGCTCTGAAGAGTTTATCTCAAAGACAAAATAGTCCTAAGGTTAAGATGATGATCTGGATATCAGTTATAATCTAGTAAAGTTAACAGTTTTGTAAGTTCAAAAGATTTAAAGTAAAATACTCAAGTAGAGGTATTAGGTATGACAATTGGTAAGGAACCTTTGAGTAAACTTCTTAATTAGGTAATATAAAAAAGTTACACATGTAGCCAATTGTACACTCTTTTTGTAGTAGTTTACTGAACTATATTTATTATTATTAAATAAAGTCAAAAGATCCAAGAGCTTATCTTAACAAATATATATATATATATATATATTTTTAAGTAAAAAACATTTTTAAAATTCTACTTTAGACCTCTAGAGTCGATAGCATAGTGGTTATGCTCTGAGGTCACAAATCACAAGATTACCGATTTAAATCCTAATGACAGCAATTGTAGAGATGCATTTCTAAAATAGAAAACTGCAACACTGCAGCATCAGAGAACCAGAATGTCATCAGATAGACTTATTTCTAGAAAAGACAAGTGACCTGTGATTGAGAAGCCACTTAGTAATAAATATAAGTTAGAACACAATTTGGAATAACTGAAGTCATGAGATATAATATGAAGCTAAAAGTCTGACAATGAGAAATACTATATAAACTTATGATGATAGCTGGTTCTTGATAGAGCTTGGTGAAAACTTTTGATACAGCAGAGATCAGTATGATAGTCACTTCTGAAAAGTTTAAAAGTATAGACTGAAGGAGGTCAAGGTTCAGATCCAGAAGTATATTGTGAACATTAGTTTAAAAAATTGTAAGAATCGCTGAAATATCTTGGCAAGACTAGTCAAAGAATAAAAAAAAAAAATTCTATTTTATAAACTTAGTTAAGAAACTTTTTTAGCTTTATTAAAAACTTTTAATTAATTAAAGTTTAAAGATTATATAACATAAAAGTTTATTATTAAAATATTTTTTAGGTTTTCTAAAATTTTATATGTTTTTGAATCTAAAAAAAATTTTTGCTCTTAAAACAAATATTAATTTATATATATAAATTATTAAACTTATAATAATTAAAAGATTTTTATGTTTTAGTACATATGCATTATAGTGCATAATTATTTTGATAAGTATATGATCATTATGCAGTAATTAAAAGTCTGATCTGTAAACAAATATTTATAATTTTTTAAATCAAAAAAATTCTTTTATACTATAGCTGCTTTTTATAATATGCATTCTAGCACTATAAGATTACTTTAAGGCAGTTATTACTTTTTATAGCCAAAAATGTTCATTCTTAGTGTCATATATTTTTAGAAGTGTCATTAGGATCCATATCATCCTCAGTATTATTAAACATTAGGATTAGCATATTTTAGTTATATATTATATATCATCACCAAAAATTGTTGTTTGCCTATTATATAACATATCTATGCAATAAGTATTATTGGCAGTTTTTTTTATATTTGTATTGTTTATATCTCTGAAAAATACTTATCAGGCTTTTTTTCAAGTTAATAAAGCGGGTTGGTTTTTGTTCAATTGTTAGATCTTTAGAAGTTGTTGTTAGGATTAGCAAACTAAATATTATTGTTGGAAAGTCAGCTATTTTAATAACATACTGCATAGTAAGCATTGTTGCCAAAGCCATTTTTTATATTATTTTTTATCACTAGAAAATAGATGAAAGGATTTTTTTCATTACAGAGTTAGCAAATAGCATGTCCCTAAAGTTATTTTTTATATTATTGTGTATTACCAAAAAAGAGTTGGCAGAATTTTTTTAGTTAACAGTTATCAGATAGCATTGATTTTTTTTTTTTTTATAGTTCTCAATATAACTGAAGCAACTGAAGTTGACATTGATGATATCCAAGCCATTAATGAAGTTGAAGATACCAATTCCTCAGTATTTTTCAAAGAAGTTGTAAATTCTGATTTGTTTAGTACCAAGACTTTTTCAATATGAAAGGAATGTAATTTATTTGTTAGTAAGTAGACTAAAAAAAATATGTTTTATACAAAAAAAAATCATGTATATCATAAAGAAGAGATTATAAGGAAATGTACATATCTATATGATCATGCTCATTCTTATAATTCAAAATCAAAAAAAGATACTGTTACAAAAAAAATCAATTGCCCATTTCTTATTAATACTTCATGTCTCAAGTCAAATAATCCTGCATTTCATGTTTATATAAATAAGATTGTTTATGATCATAATCATCTCTTAAGTATTGAATTGATCAGTTTTGAAGAAAGTAAGAAGTTCACTTCTGAAATATTAAAGGATATCAAATTTTTAACAACACATTGTAAATTTGAAGCAACAGTTCAGTACAGGTTTTTAGAAGGTAAATACTCAACACAACCAATATATTCCAAGGACCTATATACTGCTATTTAACAATTTTGGCTAACCTCTAAATCATTATCAAGTGATGCAGCCCTAATGTCTAATTGGCTAGACAGTCAAAAAGAAATTAATTCTTGTTGAATTGTTGTTAAAGATTGGGATGAAGATAACACTCTTACCAAGCTACTGTAGATAACTCCTAAACAGATTGAAAATTGGATACAATTTTTAGACTGTATTTTGCATGATATAATGCACAAAACAAATTATTACAGCATGATATTGTTAATGTTTGTAGGATTTAATTAGCATTGGCAAAACATTCTTCTTGTGCAAGCTCTGCTACCAGATAAAAGTACAGAATTACATGTTTGGATGTTCAACAAAGTCTTAAAAGCAACTGAAAAGCAGCCAGCAGTCATAATTACTGATGCTGACCCTGCAATAGAATCTGCAATTCATCAAATATTTACTCAAAGCTATCAAATTTATTGTGCTTTTCATCTTACACAGAATATTAACAAACACTTAAGGAATTCTCTTGGTGGTGATTATAGCAAGTTTATTGAGGCATTTTATATCTGTAAGAATAGTCTCGGAAAAGAAACATTTGAAAAGAGATTTAAAAACATCTGTCAAAATTTTCCTAGTACTAACTTATATATAAATGTGTTATATCATAATAAGGCTCATTGGGCTTATTGTTTTATATGATTCAAATTTACTGATAGTATGATATCAACTTCCTACATAGAGTCTGTTAATAGGTGTCTCAAATGGTTATTGCATAGTTCAAATGTTTCATTATATGAATTAATGAATGAAATACATTGGCTTTTAGATTTACAAGACAAAAAGAAGAATATAATTTTTGAAAACTTTCAATTCCTTGCATAAATAATCAAAAAAAAACAAATTTTCTGTTTAAAAAAGTTGATGAGTATTTGGAAAGAATTTTTATGTCTGTAATTTTACAAAAGCAATGTGATAAAATAAACTAGTAGAATTATTATGAAATGATTAAAATTTTGGAAAATAATATTGAAGTAAGTTTTTTATTTGTTTTTGGTAATTTGATAAAATCAACATCATTAGTATATATACATATAATAATATATTATTAGGTTGTACTATCTGTAGAATAGTTAAAGTTAAAAAGAACTATACTTTATATTAGAGTTATGAATAGGTTTATGTGAATAAGTCAAGTGTTAGTCTAAAGAGTTTTAACCAACTATAATACATAATATGAATATAATAAGCACTTATTTTTATATGTTACTTTATTAATTTGACTATATTACTTTATATAGAGCTTTTGTAATATCAAACAAGAAATTAAAATATATAATAAATTAGAAACAGAAATGCAATAGATTTTATTAAATGAAATCATTTACTTAGTAGGAGGGTTGAATATTATGGTTGAAGTATGGTCAGTAAAAGTTAATAATTCTATTATCATTAAATATCACATATTAATTTTAAAGAATCTATCTTATATTTGTTTATGCCTAATAATTGTTCAACAAGGCATTGTTTGCAGGCATTATTTTAAATTAATGCTTATGACAAACATTGCCAAATTTCATATTCAGCTTATTTCTTCGCATTGGTATTATGAAAAGGTCAGTGTATCTAATGAACTTTTTTTGAAGGCAAACAAATTTTATAATGAAGAAAATTTAGTAGAAGAAACAGCTTCTTCTATTACTTATTTATATACATTCAGTCATGATAATCAAGATTTTCTTAAAGAAAATTTTAATATAATTTAGCAAAGAAAGGTTTATAGAGAGTTGCATAATATTTATAAGAAGACTCTTAATAAAGCTCTAAAAAACCAATCAAATTCACAACAACTTATTGGTCTGTTATAGGAATTTATAAAACAAATCTCTGATTCTTCTAAAGACTCATCTTCAGATGAAGGTAATAGTAATAAAGGAAATCAAGAGTTCATATTATTGAATTCTAAAAAGAAACGTAGTAAAGGTCACCCAGTTAGAACTAAATAGTTCAAATCATCATATAAACAAAAAGTCATCAAAAAACAGCAAAGGCATTGTAAAAAATATGGCAAAATTGGTCATTATTAAAAAAACTGTAACTTGTAACTTGTGTAGTAAGATAGTTTATATATTTTTATTGTTCAATATATTGCATTACTTGAGAGTTAGAAAGCATTGTAATTGTAAAATTGCAATCATATAATTGTTAACCAATTTAGCTAGAAATAGAATTTAGTGCAATATTGTATAGGCGATGCTGTTTTATAATTAATCACTATTTTGGTATAGTAATGTTTAATCTACATAATATGTAAATAACATGCTTTTTGATACACAATTTCATATATAAACATATAGATATCAAGATGACTACTTGTTATATGCTGAGTTATATACAAAATCAGTTATACCTGATTTGTATATGCATATTATAAGTATGCATTAATAATACAATACTACATCAAATATGAACAAACAGATATATTTAGTATGTACATACAAAATTTTTGTTATGAGGATTAGAACGAATCTAATGTGTATATATATATAAAATAAAGGTGTATCGATATATTTACTTAGAGGATGTCTAAAGTAAAGATAGGTTACACAAAATCAATAAAATTCTTATTAACTTTAGAGTTAGGGTTAGTTCTGATTAAGGTTAGTATTAGCAGATATATAGGTAAAATTACCTTCCTGATATTTTTAATTAGTGTATCAAAACATGTTTAGATAGGGTTTTTTGTATTTTTTGCAGTTTTCATTTTTTTTGCTTTGCTAGACTGATTCAGGTCAACAAAAAATTTGTAATTTGATTGGTTAATATACATGATTTATCTCTGCTTTAGATGATCCCTTTACTTGGTAATTCAATCACATAATTTTAAATTTCATATGATATGTTTCTGCAATTTGATTGGCTAATTCATAAGGTGTTATAGCACAAGTATGCTATTTTATATAAATCTAATTAAAAATATAATATTTAATATAAACTAAAAAGTTGTATTAAAATCTATAAGTTTAAAATTAATATTTAAAAAATTTATTATAGATAAACTAAAAAAATGATTTATTAAAATTTTTTTTAAAATTATATATTTTTGGTTTATAAGTAACCTACTTTATTTTTCTTATAATTTAAAAATAAATACTGCAAAAAAGTAATTTTATTTTTTTAAATATTATTATATCAAATTTTATTTAGATACTTTAATATTTTAAAAAAGTAGATCAGAGCCAAAAAAATATAATTATGCAGACAAATTTGTCTGCAAAAGTCTACAATTTAAGAAATAACTTTATTCTATTTCTAAACAGCTCAATAACTCTAAGTCTTAGAAATAATAAAATTTTCTTTTTTAATTAAATACTTATAGCTTACAATCACAATCTACTTTCTTAGAAAAACATATATTTTAAAACTTATAAATTTTCTCAAGATCCTATTTTAAATTAGTTTAAAATACTTACAAACAAGATTTTTCCTTCTTTATTTTATATATTTAGCCTAATCTTTAGATCTAACAAATTAATTCTTTTCTAAATATACTTAATCTTATTACATCTTAGTCTAATGATTCTAAAAATACATAAATATTATATATTTTTTCTATTAATTGGCATATAAGCAAAATAACAAATACATTAAACTCTTTAATACTTTTTCAAAAATACCAAGTTATAAATTTAACAACTAATACAATTAAAATTTCTCTAATACCTACAATATTTCAAATAAACTATAAACAAACTATCAACCTAAAATGCAAAACACAAAAAAAAAAACAATATTTTAATCTTAATATTAATAATTAAAAAATATAAGCATGTGTGTGGTGACCTAGTGAAGTGGTCATGTTGTCAACCCCCAAGTAGTAGGTTGGGTGTTCAAATCCCATCGATGGTGAAAATTTGGATAATCACCTATGTAATATTCGTATTATG